TGTAGATCAACGCCAACTTGTGTTGTTAAAATATTCCTTGTGTCTACTTAAACCGAGCCTCACGTCCGATAACATTGCACAATCGAATAGACGCATAGCTCGTGTTCCACTATTTGTATTCACACCTGGGCTGTATGTATATATTGCCTTGGTTTCATATTGAATGGATTTAAAAATTGTTTTAAGCTGATGGAGTTTTACAAAGCAAATTCAATTGGTTCATTTTGTTTTCATGTGTATAATCAATAACAGCGACGTATGAACAATCTAGATAATGCATGTAATAGCCTAAACCGTGGTAAAATCCAAAAATATTTCACACTTAACACAATACCGAGCCTGATTGTTTCCGAGGCAAAACAATCTGTGAATGTCGCTAATAACTTAGCAATAAACAAACGATTGTAATTAAAATTTTACATATAAACATAATGTTTTTGATATACAACCCTGCAAAATTTCAAAAGGGTACGAAAATTTATTGCAAGTTGCAAACATGCAAATTCTATTTTTTTTTTTTCAAAAGTGAAATTTTCAAGTTATGTTATTTTGCTACATAACGACAGTATGTGTCAGGGCGCCTAGATTGACACAGTAAGATAATAATGTGCGACTCATTTTGTGGCATTCGTCCTCGTTCAGTACACCTGAAGAGCACATGGAACAATTGTCAGCAGAGAAATTAAACAAATATCCACTAAAAACGACAATATCCAAAGAATATCAGCAGCTGGTGATCCAGAGATATACATTTTTAATATCTATTACGTCACAATATCGGTAATGATTTTCTATTTTCTAGACTTAGTAACATGTCTTACATATATTGACACATAATTGAACACTACATTTATGTTGAAAGAGACTATTGAGGAGTTTTATACTCTTCGGTGAATTCTTCTAACCGAAAAACTTTAATACTTCAGAGAAGGTAGGGGCTGAAACTGAGGCAAAAAAAAAAAGTCAAGTGTAGCTAATGAAAAATTCATAAAGAGGTTGCTATAAGAAATTGAAATTATGCCAAAACTAGGAAACAGAATCGGAGAAACATAAAACAACAATTTCAACCCGTTTGAACGATTTACCACAGATATCAAACCATCCAATAATAGAAGTGTATAACTACATATATCTAATACACTCCTAACGGCAGAAGGGGTTGGTATAAGACATCGACATTATTTCATGTATTATTGAGAAGAATTGCACTTTGATGAACATAAAATACCAATTGAAGACCTTTTGAACGATTTACAACAGAAAACCATCCGATATTAGGAGTGTAGGCTATAATTGCATATCTCTAATACACCCCAACTAAGGACATCAAAACTAGCCTATTCCATACATCTCTGAGAAAAAATTGAAATTGAAAGAATATAAAAGAAACAATTACATTGGCGTGTCTGGAACAATTTTTATTGGTCCTGAAAGATTCGGCGATCATCACCTTCTTCCCTCATATTGGCCCTTTGTGGAGCGTGTGTGGTCCGGATGGAAAACTCTTAAAAAAAAAAAAACAGTGGCGTGGGGGGAGGGGGGCGCCCCCTCCCCCTCTCCCCTTCCGTTTTGGTTTATTGCCATTTTGGACATTTCCATTCATTTTGGTTTATTGCCCCAAACTATAATTAAGACAGCTTAGGATGTTTATAACTAAATTTAGAAGAGATTGTTTAGTCAATTCATCAAGTCATGACTTAAAAGTCATTAAAAGACATTATTGAGAAAGAATTACACTTGGATGAAAATAAAATACCAATTGAAGACGGTTTGAACGATTTATTACAAATATCAAACCATCCGATAGCCTGCATACCTCTAATACACCCCAACTACGGAAGAGGTTGGTATAAGACATTAGACATGACTGATATTTGGAAAATTGTTGTGAAAGGTGCCGAGATTTTGGAGGTCCTTCATAGCTTACATGATATCCGTAGTTACCTGTTTTCATTCTATAAATGCCGTATAGAGAGTTCTTAAAATGTCTTAGTGCAATGGAACCCATGTTAAGAAATGAACGTCTGATGAATGTCCATTATCGTTATTGTGTCCGTGAGATAAGGATTCTTGCATATTCTCCGCTGTTAGAGCACTACCAGAGTACTTTGCAGTACATGGCTTATGCCTATGGAATCAGTGTGAAACTCTTTGACCAAGAGCTGCCAAAATTTATCGCTGCTGGAGGACTGCATTGTAAAATTGATAAAGTAGGAGATATTGTTGAGAAGAACCGACCCGACAGATGATACACTCAGTAGGGCCTACCAGGCAACCATCAAAGAAGGAGACATTCTACTTAACTGTCTACAGAAGCTTAGTAGAGTTATCAACATTTAAAAGTGTATACCTGCGTATCTCTAATACACCCAAACGACGGAAGAGGTTGGTATAAGAAATCAACATTATTTCATGCATTTCTGAGAAAGAATTGGAGTTGAAGAAACATAAAGAAACCAATCGAAGACAGTTTGATCGATTTACCATGGTGATCAAACCATCCGATATTAGGAGTGTATACGGTTATACCTGCAAATCTCCATTACATACCCAACGAAGTAAGAGGGTGGTATAAGAAGCATTATTCTATACATTTCTGAGAAAGAATTGGAGTTGGAGGAACATAAAACAACCAATTGAAGACAGTTTGATTTATTTACAACAGAGATCAAACCAGACCCGTACGCAGGATTTTTATTGGGTGGGTGCGAATTTGTAGAGATTGGACCAAAATTGGTCTTGGCGCTTAGGGGGAGGGAATTCTGCTGGGATCGAGGGGGCGGAGCTCAGACATTTTTTGTAGTTTTAGGTCTTAGTTAATCGATTTCTGAAGATGCATATACGGTTTTCAGTGGCGGATCTATAAATTAGAATAGGGGCCAGGGAGGGACTTTCACAGATGGAGGAAATACAACCTCAGCCCCACAATGGTTGAGGCTGAGGGAAGACAATTTATGACCATGGCACCTTTAAAATGGCCTGAAATTGTACTCTTGTACAATTTGAATATCATTTTCTTTTTTCCCAATTTTTATTTATTTTTTTCTTTCAAAAATTGAGGATTTATAATTTATTTTTTTAGAGGGGGCAAGGGAAGGAATTTTACAGTTTGAGAGTCCATGACACCTCAGCCCCACCATGGTTGGGCTTGATGTAAGAAAATTTATGATTATGGCACCTCTATATGGCTGGAGATGGGGGAGGGCGCTTGGGGGAGGAGCTCAGGTTTTTTTTGATAATTTTGGTCATATTTAATCGATTTCTGAAGATGCATTACAGTTTTAGTGATGGATCTAGGCATTTGATAAGAGGCCAGGGAGGGACTTCATAGATGGAGGAAATACCACTGTTAGGCGGATTTAGGAATTTGATATGGGGGTGGGGGAGGAAGGTAAGAATTGTACAGATTGAGAGCAATGCAGTAGCCAGCAGTTGGGACAGTCCCACACAATTTTTCTAATGGGTCCACATTTTAAAAATGGGTCCAAATTATGCAATTGCATGCATAAAATGAGTCCACTTTATGAAAGATGGGTATAGATTTCTATTATTAAGCCTAAAATGGGTAAAATTTTAAGAAAATGGGTCCAGATTTTTTATATTTTTGCGTAAAATGGGTCAACTTTTAGAAAACTGGGTCCACATTATTTGAATTTACGTGTAAAGTGGGTCCACCCAGATATTGTCCCGCAATGTTTGAAAGTCTTGGCTACGGCATTGATTGAGAGTTGATAAGACCACAGCCCCACCATGATTGTGGCTGACGTAAGAAAATTCATGATTATTGCCGGAGATGGCACTCTCAGACTTAAATTTGAATATAAATTTCTTTCCTTTTTAAAAATAATTTTTGACAAATTAGGGGAGATGGTGATTTTTTAATTTTCTACCCTCGAAAATGTGGACCTTTGGTAATTTGTAGGGGGTGGGGGTGCGTGCGCATCCGTCGCACCCTTGCGTATGGGCCTGCAAACCATCCGATGTTAGGAGTGTATACCTACATATCTATAATACACCCCCAACAACGAAACGACAAAACGGGTCGGTATAAGACATATACCTGGAACGATTGAACGATTTACCACAGACTCTGAATTCAGGCTTACTGTAGTCAGATTTAAAAGTTTTGTACAGCGTAATTGACATAACTGATTATCTTATTATTTGAAAAGATATCAGAGTGGATTCTAATTAAAATCCTTGTTCAGTGGCTGTATTAACAACGAAACCTGTTACTAGACAGGTGATCGAGATAGAATTTTTAAATGTATTATTATGGTACTTATGACAAGATTTTACTCCTATTACTGAGATTTTATTACAAAAAAGATTTGAGAAGATTATGCTTCCTGGAAGCTTTGGTTCTGCTGGAAGATACGGTAAATAAAGTTCAATCGATAACAGCTTATATTGAGAGTGTATAGGCCTACCTGTGTATTCCATGAGCAAAATATATCACGACTATTCCATATTATTACTGTGTCTAGTATTTCTGATGGAAATATTGAGAAACAATTAAATAAACAGAACATACCATTTGAAAACAGTTTTGAACGATTTACCACAGATATCAAACCATCCGATCATAACCTGCATGTCTGTAATAACCCCAGCGACGGCAGATGGTGGTATAAGACATCGAAACTATTTCATAAATTACTGAGAAACAATCAATCTATGTTAGAGGAACATCATCAATAATTGCAGACGGTTTAGTGCAACTTACAGTGATCAAACTTTCTGAAATTACGAATGAGTAGTCTTTAATACACCCCAAGTTGGACACACCTCAGGAAAGTTGCAATTATTTCGTGGCCGGACAGGGGGCTGAAATGGACCAGTACACCAGAAACTCTACCTCCTAGGATGTACAGGGTTCTTTAAATTGCACACGAGAAAATTGTGTACACTGAACCTACCGTTTAGTGTCCTTACCCTAAGAACTTGTTCCACCACTGGAATCATAAGCAGGAGTGCCGTTCGAACCAGCACCGATATTATGGTTGTAGGCCTATGTCACGGTTCCCTGTCTTAACCGTTTGGCCAACCGACTAGGGTCGTTGACCAAAAAAAGTTACTTTTTAATATGCACATTCACTACATTATAAGCTTTAAAATGATAAGTCAACTAGACCCTACTGACTAATTGCCAAAGTTATAAATAAAAGTATTCTGTACTAACGTATACATTACTGCCATATTGTTATACTAAAAATAGTACGCTCGTTTTGGGATGGCAAGCCTCAAATTGTATTTTTCATTTGTACAAAAAAATGTACACTAGTGTATGAAACCCGTTGTATAATATAATGGATTCCTGTGCCAATAGACAATGTGAACTCAATATTTTTTGGCAATGTCAAGATCACACCTTATTAGACTAAGAATGCAGTCTATACAAAACAATACCTTGTAATCATCAAAAATACGCTATTATATTTCTGTTCTATTTTCTCTATTATATGATGAACCTTGAACAGCCCCCTTTCAAATTGAATACGTCACTTGAGAATGTAGATTGCTAATCCACGAAACGTCGGTAAAGTTCGACAAATTTTGCTGGTTTAACAGAAAAGAAAATTCGCACATAGGCCTAAATCTTGAATCTTTAGAATCATTGTTATCTTGAAAGTGGAGTTCTGTTCTCAGCTGCCTTTTTTGGAACTGCTCAAGAACGACCTCTTTCTTGGAAGTCCCGTCACATCTGAACTGACAAAAGCTCATACAGCTCAACTTTCTGTTTTAGAATAAATTGGCGCTGGTGCTGCTCACACTTCTCTTGTCATCTTAAGGCTGCGTCAATTCTTTCTATACAATTCTGCTAAACGAAATTATATAATAATGTATAAGCATCAATCTTTACAAATCAAATTTGTATAGAATGAAGTAAAGAAATAAGGTAAATATTGGAATGCTCTGTGTATTTCGAACCAGCAACATTGACGCTTCACTTCATGTGGAGTGCTCTCTTCAATACAATTTATTATATATAACATAATATTAAATATAAAATAATACAATACAATAATTGATACAAAAACGTGCTACCTTATCAGTAACAAATTTCAACAGTAGTTTTAAACCAATCTTTAATTATCTAAAAATTAATTACAATTTATGCGAGCTAACTTTAAAAGAAAAGCAAATTACATTTGTTGCCGCAAAATTTAAAGACATTCCTCTTTCTACATCCATGCAAATAGGTTGTACCAGCACAGGCATTTTCTTTCCTAAATAGATAACAATAATATACATTAAATACATTATTTCAATTATGAATGTGATAGAAACTATGCAATAATATTAAGAAATACGCTGATGACATATTTTTTTTTGTGAATAAACAATGTTAATAAGTATCTTGAAGGCCTATGTGCATAGGCTATGTGCGCCCAAATTTTATTTTGGTGGGGGAATATATCCCCCAGCCCCCTCTGGCACCACCACTGTTACTGATTCCTTACGTGGTTTTAGCGGTATGGAACGCTATCGCTGCCTTCGGTAACAGCTGACCATTCGGTGCATTTACATTCGGCCCTTTTACCATTCCGTTCGGCTCTTTTACCATTCGGCGCATTTACATTCGGCCCGTTTACCATTCCGTTCGGCTCTTTTACCATTCGGCGCATTTACATTCGGACCTTTTACCATTACGTTAGGCTCTTTTACCATTCGGTGCATTTTCATTCGGCCCTTTTACTTTCGGCGCATTTACATTCGGCCCTTTTACCATTCGGCGCATTTACATTCGGCGTATTTACATTCGGCGCAATTACAAATAAAATATAACCTTTGACATCGGTTCAAATACAAAATTTTAACGGCTGTGGGAATGAGCCTATATTTACATTGGCCTTTCTGGAGACGTTGGCGGTACTGTCAACTGGAGGCAAAAGACTTCGCGGTATAGGAGAAATGCATGTAAAACAGAGATACGGGTTACTTTTTTTTGTCAAAAATACGAAAGCTACATGAATAAAATTCATATATGTCATAGTTATATATATTAGGAATGGACAAAAAAAATATCTAGGAAATTAAAGTTTTTCTATTTTTATTCATTTTTTAAAAATCATTTGGGGAAATCGTCGCACCAACCACAATAGCCTAGTTGCACAGCGCTGAGGGTATCAACATTGGATGATTCGCTTAAAGATTCGACTACCAGGCATCTGCGTTTGCATCTCTCGAATCGCTCGTCTTTCTCTTGTGCATGTGTATTTTTATACACAAATAATATGCTTGGCACATAATCCAGATTTGTGGGGTCGCCCGATTTTTTGCCTGTTAAAACAATACACTAGGGATCCAGGGGAATTTAGTCCGCGAAATGTTTGTTTTCAGACGCTCCAAAATAACAGAGGCATTTTCGTGCGATCAGTTATTTATTTTTTCCTTATTTATTTTTCTTTTGGCTTTCCGAAAGAGGGGTGGGGGAGGGGTAGGGGTTTGACCGGCCCGGCTCCCCTTTAATCGACATATAGTATGAGGTAAGTGTTGTATTGTTTAAGTTGAACTGACATAGCATTCGAATTTCCTATTTAAATAACCCTCAGCGCTGTGCAACTCGGCTATTGTGTGGTTGGTGCGACGATTTCCCCAAATGATTTAAAAAATTGAATAAAAATAGAAAAGCTGTAATTTCCTAGATTTTTTTTGTCGATTTCTAATATATATAACTAGGCCTCCTATGACATAAGTGAATTTTATTATTTTTGACAAAAAAAAAAATAACCCGTATCTCTGTTTTACATGCATTTCTCCTATAATACCGTGAAGTCTTTTGCCGCCAGTTGACAGCGCCGCCAACCTTTCAAGAAATACATTGCAAGGGGTCTATAGGCTCATTCCCACAGCCGTTGAAATTTTTTATTTGGCCCGATGTCAAAGGTTATATTTTATTTTTTAATTGTGCCGAATGTAAATACGCCGAATGTAAATGCACCGAATGGTAAAATGGCCGAATGTAAATGCGCCGAATGGTAAAAGGGCCGAATGAAAATGCGCCGAATGGTAAAAGAGCCGAACGTAATGCTAAATAAAAGGGCCGAATGAAAATGCGCCGAATGGTAAAAGAGCCGAACGTAATGATAAAAGGTCCGAATGTAAATGCGCCGAATGGTAAAATAGCCGAACGGAATGGTAAAAGGGCCGAATGTAAATGCGCCGAATGGTAAGCTGTTACCGAAGGCAGCGATGGCGTTCCATATTGCGGGCCTACTTAGTGCGATAAGCAGTGCTACTTGGTAGCCTGCCTACTGAAAGGTGTTAAAACTGAAACGATAACCTGATATCTCTAAGCAAGACTAATGGACTCTTCTTCTAACTTAATTCGCTCGTTGATGGCGCTGTCCATAAGGAGGAAAAGTTCCGAAAAACTGGCAAGGGGTTTGTGTTGTTTATTCTATTAGGGTGTTTTAATTTCGTTATTAATTGAAAAGAACAGAAAGTAAGTTAAAACGTGTAGACCTAGGCCCTATAGACCTAGACCTCGATGTTAACAATGTAGGCCAGAGAATATGCCAGAATATTTATGTAAACTACCTGTATGTAGGCCTAGCCTAGTGACCGCCTAGTGCAAGGGTACATACAGGAAGAGTGCGCACGGTTACCGCACGCCCATGGCCACAATAGCTTAGAGCTTTCTTCCTAAGATTGTCATTTATGGTTCCCTGAATATGTGCTAAGTGCCTAAATGCCATCATCAGACTTGACGACTTGTCAAGATAATTTATGCTGTCAAGTCGACATAATATACATATCATGTCGACATGGCGAGATAGTTACTTGACAAGTCGACATAATTGTATGTTGTCATGGCGAGATAGATTATCTTGACAAGTCGACATAGTAAAAATTGTATGTTGTCATGGCGAGATAGATTATCTTGTCAAGTCGACATAGTAAAAATGTTATGCTGTCATGGCGACATAATTTATCTTGCCAAGTCGACATAGTAAAAATGTTATGTTGTCATGGCGAGATAGATTATCTTGACATGTTGACAATACAAATTGTATGTCGTCTTGGCAAAATGTATATTATGTCGAGATTTTGCCAAGATAGTCAAGATTTGCCAACATTTTGCCAAGATATTAAATAATAATTAATAAACTGGTTGTACAGTAACATAAAAAACACTGTAGATCCGAAGTTGGCACATAATTACAGTAGGTATATGAAGAAGTTTGAAGTGTGATGGATTTCTTGGCACGTTAGGAGGGGCGGTAATTCGAGAGGGGCGCTTATTCAAACGGGGCGCTTATTCGCGTGAGTACGGTATCCCCCACACAGGTCCTTGCATTCTGTAAACCAGGGGTGGGCATAAAAATCGGTCAGAGAGCCAATGTGAATTTTTGATTTAACACCGAGGGCTCACCCAAACTTTGATGTTTCCAATGACCTTCCAAAAACCTCCAAGCATTGCTTTTACACCACTTTATTCTGAGTTTTAATGTTACTTCTTACATATGATCGGTGTCGGGCAGTGAAAAACAAGGTGTTTTCTAGCCAATGCCCATTATTTTCAGGTTTGGGCCCTACCTAAGCTGGTCGAACATTTCGTTTGGGTCTATACCCTAGCTGCACTGATGAGGCCTGGAAGGCCGAAACGGATCCGTCTGCAGATATTGTGATTCCTTCCAGTGGATGCTTAGTTTATTTTGTCATTCTGATCGGATTTTCTCTTGCCTCTTATACACATCT